AGCTGGCACCAACTGGGCACCATGTACACCTACGATATACTGGCTGCTTCACCGTGTTGCCAGGTAGAAATACTGATCTCTGAGGGGCATTAATGAGCACTTTTGTTTAAAAAGTTAACTGTACTTCGTGTATTTCAGGAGAGCAAGGATTCCTCAGACCATTAAACGTGTCCTCCTTTAAAGGAGCAGTGAAACCAAACAGTGGTGATCTCCAATGTTCAACTCATTGTAGTTTTCCTGCTTGTAACTTTACTGTTCTGGTTCAGTGTCACCGCTCTCATGGACCCATTTCCCCCCACTACAGGCAGCTGTTTTAGTGAAAAAGCTCTAATAAATCCACTGCACGCTACCTGTCCAGCCTCAAACAGAAGACAGACACAGTTAGCGACTAGCTAGTGAACATAGCAGAGCATTTAACTACCAAAGAACCAGATATTTTTGGTTGGTATAGATAGGTACAGAGCTAAAAGAGAGTCAATATTGTCTTTAATATTTATCATGTAGCCAGAAACACAACTTCAAATGAGCGCTAATGTTGCTGCATATCTGATGTGTAAATAACCAGCTTTTTGCTAACATGTTCACTATATGACCTAAAAGGTATGAATGCTAAACTAGCTGTCAAGGGGCTCATATTTTACAATCCAGTACAGCAGATCCTAATAATAAATAATTAAACTTTTTACAAAAGAATTATGACAGAAACTCACTTTGGGGAAAAATTTGAAAATCATAGATGCTACTGAAACAGGAGACGGACAGAAACCTTCTCTGTTTTGCTTTTAGTTTTTAACGTTTCACTTCTTTCATTCCCTTCGGATGGAGCCAATAAATGTAAAGTTGGTAAATGCTGTGGATCTATAGTTACATGTGCCCGGGATGCTATTTCCTGTTGTGATTTACTTCATTGGCGAATAGAACTTGCTCAGGTGTATTATAAGTTAACCAATGGTCGTATGTGCTTAAAAAGACATGGGTTATGAGTTACAAAGTTCTTTGTGTTTACTAGCTGGTTTCTGGTTGCATTGTTGGAACTTAAAGGAACAGGGTCAGTTTACTCGTCATGGGGAGTCTTACTCAGGCTGTGAATAGTGTTGCATAGTGCATTCTGTGACTCTGGAGGAGCTCTCCAAAATAACTCACTGATGTCACTAATGTCACTAAAAACCTTTAGGGTGCCAAGCAATATTACAGGTGAATCTAAAAAAAATTGTTTTGTGAGCAACAGAACCAGACTGAGAGATTAAAGACTCAGGAAACCGCAGCAGATGTTTTGAGTTAATTAGCTGATTAGAGCTCTTCTCAGGTGTTATAAATTCTTTATTCTAAAATTCTAATACATTTTGACATGATTTTGATTTCCATAAGCTGTAAGCCGCAGTCATCAAGATTAAAACAAAAAGAAAGGCTTAAAGTATTTAACTTTTTTGTAATGAATCATCTAGAATATATTAAAGTTTTACTTTTTGAATTAAAATACAGAAGAAAAGATACTTACCACAATATTAAAAAATTTGAGATGCACCAGTAGATATCAGTCCTTTGTAAACATAGTTAAGAATTAGTTTTGTTTATAACTAGTGCATGCATGTAGAAATGTGTGTTTTACAGGGAGTATTATTCATGCAGTTTAGGATGAATGGGAAGTATTTGATTTAATCTGTTATCAGCGTAACAGTTTGTAATATTAGGTATATTGTTATATTTGTGAAATACATTTTGATTTTAAAGTGTCTAGTCAGATGTCTCGAACATATCCCATTACCTCTTTTACTAAATTTTTGTATTAGCAAGCTGTTACAGCTGCCGTTTATTATGTGTAAATATTTAATAGAGGTAAAATTTAGGATTGTTTCCGTTATTGATTAATCTGTAGATTATATGTTCGGTCAAGAAATTTTCCCAAAACCGAAGGTGATGTCCTCAAATATCTTCTATTTAGCAAACACTTACCTTATAAGAAGGCTAACTTTGAACTTAATAACAGCAACCATTGTTGATTCACCTGTTTAGTGTTCCCCACAGCTGTTGCACATGATATTGCACACCTGTCCTCCATCCACTGATGAACACTGTGAGATGCAGTTGAAAGCTCAGACAAAAGCTAGCGACTGGACCTTTGAGTTTGTTTCACACATTCTGAACTACCCAACGAGGGTTAAAATGAAGGGCAACTGGACTTGGTTGAAGATACTGGAAGACGTTTCGTCCCTTATCCAAAGGACTTCTTCAGTTCTGACTGACTGGCAGGGAAACTCAGCTATTTAACCTCAGTGGGGTCGTTGGCCCAGGTCATCGATACCGCTGGTTACATCTGAAGGACAGAGGACACTCGTTTGAGGACCACCAGGTGCACATTTTAGACAGAGAAGATGGATGGTTTGAAAGAGGTGTCAAGGAAGCCATCTACACCAGGGTTGAGAAGCCGTCATTGAACAGGGGAGGGGGTCTACGCCACCACTTATCCTCCACTTACAATGCTGTCCTTTCATCACTTCCCAGGAAACTCAACAAACGTAACCCATTGGCCTCAGGTGAAGATACCAACGATGGTCGTTCAGTCTTGGCCACAGGTAGTCTCAACGACTGTAACGACTGTCGTCACAACACCAAGGAACACCAACGAACCAGCGGTATCGATGACCCGGGCCAACGACCCCACTGAGGTTAAATAGCTGAGTTTCCCTGCCAGTCAGTCAGAACTGAAGAAGTCCTTTGGATAAGGGACGAAACGTCTTCCAGTATCTTCAACCAAGTCCAGTTGCCCTTCATTTTAACCCTCGTTGGATAACTATGACCTGGATGACTGAGAATCTTCATAGACATTCTGAACTACCACGCTCAAATTTGCAGCTTTAATTCAGCGTCCTGTTATCTGACCTGCATCCTCTCTCCTCCCTGTGTGTCCTCAGGCTCGTCTCAACTGTAAACACTGCGGGAAGCCGGTGGTGGACGTTCGAGTTGGGATGCAGTATTTCTCTGAGTACAGCAACGTCCAGCAGTGCCCTCACTGTGGCAACCTGGACTATCACTTCGTTAAACCTTTCTCCTCCTACAAAGTACTCGAGGCTTATTGACAAATGCTGTTCATGCATGCTAGTTAAGCTGCTTTTGATCCAATTTGTATTCTAACACAATCTAGGAAAGATTTTATTTTTTGGGCCTTAAGGTGGTTTTATGTTTTAAGTTCTCTCTCTTGATTTCTTTTTTATGTACAGGAAAAGTATGACTCTAGTTTAAAAAAAAAAAAAAAAAGTTCCAAGACAGTATCTCTGCTGTTAGAGAAAAGTGTTGATAAAGTGTGAAACTGACACATCAGTCAAACACATTTATCTGTGACAAGTGAATGTATCTGTATGCCAAATTTGCTTTTATTTTTTACCAAAAAAACAACAACATACAAATGACTCTTGAATAAAGCAGAGAAAGATGTATGTTGGTTTGAAATCTTCATCCATGATCATTGTTGACAAGGCAATGACTGCCTCTTCAACGCTCTACGTGGAACTAAAATCAGTGAAATCCAAAGATACAGCAAAATGTATCTTGTTACAAAATGCGCCCTCAAATAAATGTATCAAAATAAAATACAACATTCTGGTGCCAAAAATATCAAAATAAAATACATGTATTTAATACAGGAAATGCATTTGCGACAATTCGACATTCTGAAATTTGTACAAAGTGGATTTTGCTAATGTACGCAAGGTTGTGTACACAAATTTCAACCCTACTGGAAGGAAGAACACGAGGTCGAATGCTACCGTATGTAAGCAAAACTGTATAAACAACAAAAATACTGAAAATAGTCTTGTACAGTATGTAGAAAGCTCTCTGTCCAATTCAGAGACCCACCCACTACAATTAGTTGCCTTTAAAAACAACAAACTTTTCTAGTGTTAGCCGCCTCGTGTGCAGATGGGAGTATTATTCCTGCAGATGAGAACAGTCTCTCAAACGGAGCTGAAGAAGGGTAGGTGGTGTTAAAAACATCCACATCTCCTGTGCTGTCAATTTGTTCACAGTAGACTGCCGGGTTCATCAATGTGTGTGTGTGGAGGGAAAAAAAGCAGTGTATTCATCACAGGTTACAGTTACAGATGAATTAAAGGAAAAAGCTGAATAAATGATTAGACAAACATTGATGCAGATGCTTCCATAGAGATGCACTGCAGGATATAATTAAGCAGTAAAATTCCTCACATGCTGTGTGACGTCTAAAATGCCAAGAAGTCCCAGTGGACCTCAGTTTTGGATCAAGATGGAAGGAGGACAAAATATGAGTGACATGTATGTGAGATTTTGGGCCAAAGTGACGACGCTCACCACCACCATCAAACACCAACTGAGGGAACATCATTCAGCACACTCCGTGTCAGTACAGTGCAATGTCAAGTAGAGTAGTACAAGATTGTGTGTTTTTGCATATTGTTTGTGCCTTTGTTCATTACAAACAGTGGACAGATAACAGGAAATGAGGGAGAGAGGGATGCAGCGAAGGGTGATTTAAAAATAAAGCCTGTGAATAGTGACCTTTACTTTAGCCTTTAGGTAACTATATGTGACAGTGAAAGTAAAAGCCTAAGGCAACTAGCTGATGATTGGCTGTTTTCTAGTACAGATATATTAGGTCTTTACTCAGCACACCAAGAACATGTTGGTACCAGTGTTATGCCGATACTTTAAGGGGTTGTCTCTGACTCACGTTTCCACCGGTGCCTTCCTGCAACAACTCGCCTCTCACCAGATTTCAGAATGGTCCTTGAGCCAGACTTCTGTTTCTGGTTAAAATCAACGGGAGTCACTCGTAGGGATCCTTTCCATGATGTTGTCAGACACCGCTTATAACAATCTGAGCCTGTCAGTGGCAAAAAGAAGTACCTTTTTCTGGACATAATTTTGTCAGGTAAATTGCCCCAAAGGAACATGTTGTAGCCAGTTTGCAGCTTCAGTGACACCAAAATATGTGAAAATAGAGCCCAGGTTTTAAAATACTGAAATGACCCTTGCTCATCCTTTTATTATCTTTATATTATACCAAACTCTGTTAAACACCTACATAATACACTACAAGTAGAGTCTGATTAACATATTTACACCAATCTGTATTCAATTTGCTTTGGTGAAATTGTTTTATTTCCATCAGATCACTGCTATATAGAGCCCTCTGTCGTGTCCATGTTGCCAACAGGGGAAGTTGTGCTCTCAGCGGCTTTCAAGCTGGATTTGGCAGTCTGCAAATCTGCAGTCTTATTCTTCTCTTTTTGTGACAGTTCCTTTGCTGAAGGTGGTCGGAGGATGCACATGGCTGCTCGACCGTCACGTATGGCTTTTGGCTTGGAAACAAATCCTACCATTACCTCCATTTGTTGCACTATCTGCTCCAGATTTGTGTCCTATGGGAAAAAGAAAAAAACCAAAAAACATTAGCGTTTAATACTTTCTATGTACAGTATATGTGTTGGAACATTTTTAGGGAGAAAACATGCCCAATGTGTGTGACGATTAAAGGATATTTGTACAATTGTCCTCCCCCCTTAAACAACACTGACGTTCGGGAAAATGGCATCAAGAGATGGTGTTGAGACAGAAAGGGTTGAGAGTTGGAGCTTAACTGACCATGGTGGCAAGCAAAGGTCTTTTCTTTTATGCCGAGTTATTTGATTGATAAACCTCACCCACTGAATGTAACATAAAAATACACAGCATGAAAGGTTACCTAAAAATAAAAGTATGTAAATGCTAGAAAAGCATTTAGCTCCCAGTATCAGAGAGGCCCTTATTAGAGTCTGTCTGATACTGGGGGCCAATACCGATATTTGAAAGTTTTAAAATCAGATATAAGGGCTGATATTTTTGTTTGCAAGTGCGCCGCATGCCGGCTTATTAATGATGTAGCCTCAACTGAAACCAACATCTGCACTCCAGAGTCTACTGTTGTTTTACCTGGTACATGACTTGTAACGTAATAGGATCCCAGGTTTTTTACCGAGCTCACCCCACCTGATGCCATCATCCATCTCAATGTTTCATTGTAGACATTGTTCAATGGAAATTTTGTAGACAAAATACGGCTGTGATGATGTATGCAAATGTTTTATATGAGATGACTTTCTCTAATAGAGACACTAGTATGAACCTGTTTCAGTGGAAAGAGGACAACAGAAAGCCAGTAACAGAAAACATGACAACATGTCGCCATTTAACCAAGTTTAGTAACAGACGCAACAAAATTATTATTCTTATAAAAAAGCAATTGTTCAAAAAAGTGCATAGATTTAATTCTGTCAGCATTGTTTTTGAGGGTCAAGAACTGATATGATGAATACTTACTGCATATCCAGACATATTATGTTGAAATTCACAACTCATACAGAGTAGAGTAACATAATTTGCTTAAATTTGTGAGCGAGTCAGGTGCACCAGTTGCTAGAGAGTTAAGGTGCTCATCAAGAACCTTTCATTTGGTGTATAAGTTACCATATTTTAATATACAATTAATTATATCTTGTGTGTGTAGCATGAAGGGACTACAAATTTCGTTTTGTTATGCAGCCTTGTGCTGTATAATGACAAATAAACAACCTTGTACCTTCATCTCCCTACTGTCCCGATATAATAAAGGCAAAAAATCAACAACCCTAAAGCAAATCATTGACAAAACGTGAGCTTTCTTCCTCACCAGGTCGACTGCAGGTGCCCCACGTCCTGACCGCAGAGTAATTCTAACATGGTGCTTCTTCTCCAGCCAGCTCTCCACTTGCTTCAGCTTGGTGCTGAGGTCATGAGCTGCGATGCCAGATGAAAATGTGAGCTCTTTCACCTGGACAGGGGCTGTGGAGAGAATATAGCCCATCCCATTTTATACGATGGGTTACATTGTGTTTCACATACTGTGTATATAACGTTTTTACTGTAAGATCTGTTGAATACTAAAGTTACTGAGATGAAACTGACTTTCTTCACAGGGCCTTGTTTAAAGAACCATTTTGACCAAAAGGTACATGTTTCGTTAATACCTCAAATTTCTTTGGGACAAAGGTGGTTTCAGAAAAAGAATCTGTACACTGAACAGAACAACAGAGAGAACAAAAGCTTTGTTGTCAAGATTTTAGAGATCCAGATCTGGTTTCTTTGACAAAGTATGGTCTGTTAACTGTAAACAGTTCCCAATCTGTGTACATATATTGACAACTGGAAAATTATGGTTTCAATTGCAATACTCTTCATCAGGCACTTGTTCAAGTTAGATTTACATCTACTAAAACAGTGCTTCCAAACCTTTTTGGCTTGAGACCCTTTAAAACAAAAGAAAGTCAACCGGCGACTCCAAAGTTTATTTCTATTAGCTGTGAGCATTTCAGCGGTTTTTACCTTCTCAAATTGTTGATTTTGAATCTTTCAGAGCCCAGAAGAGGTAAAACATCTAAGTAAATCATCTTGTAACCACTGTATTGTCCCTGCCAGGACACCACATACCTGCTTTTGCTTTATGTTTCTCTCGCAGTTTCAGCTGCTCTTCGTGGATCTGTTTACCACTCATCAGCCGGTAGACGGGGGGATCTTTGTGTTCACTGAGCAGCACCAATTTGAGACCCTGCTCGTCCATGATTCTGATCACATCTGCACGGTGCATGGTGCCCAGGTTCTCACCTGTGTCACTTATCACCTGTATCTGACGCTCCGGGATCTTGCGGCCAACAGTGTTGATTGTGCCATGAGTTCGGGGATCCTGCTTTTTTTTCTTGGGTGCAGGAGTCTGTTCTGTGTCATCTACAGCAGTGGAGAATGGAGACCATCTCCAGGAGGAAGCAATGGCGTTAGATCTTTCACTGCATATGCTTAATCGACATGCTGCTGTCGAGTAGCCAGGGCTGCCGCCACACACAGCTCTCACTGTACGGCTTAGCATCCACCTCACACAACCTGCAGACATGTTCTAGATTTTAAAAAAAGACGACAAATTAGCTGCCAGGTGATTTACGTGAAACAGTGTTTCAGGAAAAGGCTATTACTGAAAGCAAAATACATTATATTTTACTTCATTTTATCCTAATCGTAAGAGTTAAGCATTTCCTGAAAATGTCTACTGGACATGATGGATGTAGATTACAGAACATATTTGCATACAAGGCGTTTTCATACATTGCTGAGTTTTTGCTGAATGCCTACCATCTATGCATGAGAGCGCTGTGTGTTTAATTTGTTGTTGTTGACACATATACATAAATGTACCATAGCTACCAGGTCTGCTTTCCTGGTGGTTTCTCATGCCTCTGTACGTAATAAAAGCAGTGTCTTGTAAGCCAATGTGGACTGGGCATCTTTGGGTGTATGGCACTTGAATAAAATATATTAATTACAAAATTAAGGAATTTATTTTCTAACTGACAAGTTAGGCGGTCTCACTTTTTCCCCCAATGGTTGTCATTTTCATTGCTGCCTGACCAGCCTCCGTTAAAACATTGGCCAGTTAAAAGTGTGCCTTTCTTATCTGTCTGTGCACACACTACACACATCATAAATAAGATACTTTTCAAACTTTAAGGGTCCACTGTGATATTCGGGATACACCTCACTTCGTTCATTACTTACTTTTGGAAGTTTTAAACTTATTCGTATTTCAAATAAGTTGGTTCACCGGTCATTCTGACAAGCGTTTGCAGCTAAAACATTCAGTGTGGTCGCGGCCACTGCAAGCAGAATGTGAAAGCCAACACTCAAGTTATGCCGAACTGATGAACAAACCTTAATAATTCATAAAATGCATTTCAGTATATGCATCGGTTTGCACGGGGTGTGGAATTGATATGTAAACGTGAAACTGTAAAGTTTTAGATGGGAGTCTGGAGTTGATCGAGAGAGCTGTTCACAGTCATCCAGGCTGAGTGTAACCGAAGGCCTAACGTTATGGAAACAATGTAATTTGAATGAATAATCTCTCGCTCACATTGGCACTATGCACAAGTTGTCCTACACATGAAAGCTTGTAAAATCACAATTGTGTCCTCTGTTCCTGCGATTTTTACTCACTGTAGTTCAATGTCGTTCACTCATGCTCTCTCTGTTGCAGGTTGATTCCTGTGTCTCTTTCCGTCATCTTCTTCTTCATTTAATTTGAGTCAGTGACAATAAATGCAACAAAACTACGACGCTGCCCTCTTCTGGACACAGCAGGATAAGTTGTTAGTCCATCAAATAATCGTTTCAACTCATGGTCGGTCCCTCCAAATTACAAAAAGGCATTCAGTATGTTCTCATTTGCCCCTTGTAATCTCACCACCTCAGATACTCACTAGTTTTACCTGCCCAGGTTTTGAAATGTTTGTCTATTACATTTCTGTGTCTATCCAAATGTTATAGGGGTGCCAGAAATTTAATTAGTGGCTTTATTTATGGTCACAGCATCAAATTAAATGTGTCTTTCCAGACACAGATCAGTAGGTAGTGGAAGAAGTATCGTAATAACTGATTTTTTAGCCACTGAAGGACAGTGGAAACAGCTGGCTACATACACACAACATAACACACAGCAGATACAAGCAACATTTTAGTATTTCCTTTGTTGTGTTTACGTCCACATGATGAATGTAGGCTAAATCCTATATTCACTCAACTTTGAGCTCTGTTTTAGACCAACCCCTTTGGGAAATACCTGGCTCTGTAAGTGCTAAATGTGTGTTGTCGGTCAGCGTCAAACGGTTAACTGTCGCCACAAAGTAGTGAAAGAATAACAGGACACACCTGACCGCGACACAGACACCTGTCGCTCTCTTTGCTGTCTCTGTCCCCCTCGCTCAGAGACCCTTTGCTCTGTTTGACTGTCTCTCTGCTCCAGGATGCTTAATTCCCTCTGAAGCGGCTGTGAGCTGCACTTTATCAGAGGTACTGAAGTAAACATGTGTGTGGATGTGTGGTGATATTTCTGTCTTATCACAAGAGTTTTCAGTTTTGGTTTTCTAACTTCTGATGAAGAGCAGTGAGCTGTCTCATCCAGTACAGTCCCAGACAGGCTCTGTGTCTGTCAGGCGGTCTAAAGGGGGTAGCAGCCTACTACCATATCAGCAGAGTAAGTAAATAAGTAAGGTGGGGTAATGCACAGCAGTGGGGCAGGTAGATTTTGTTAAAATATAATGACTTCATTGTCATTATATCTCCTAATATTATATCTCAAATTGTTATTCTGCAAATGTCAGAGAACACAGATATGTGGAGAGATTTTTAATGTGCAGAAAGTTCTGAACATGAGCAGAAAAGCTGCTGAAACATAGGAGCTATTAAGGTTGCAGGGGTTTATAACTGAATTAAAATGAATTAATTTATCATTGAGGTGAAAAGGTGCAACGTGCACATTTAAAGACTTTAGGTTACTTCAGTCATGCCTGCATGTGTGTTGACTCAGCAGGGATGAAATAAAATAAAAAACAGGAGAAACACATTTGACAGCAATACAGAATGCCTGAGAGCCTTACAACAAAATATTACACTATATTTTTATTTTTTGAATTGTCATCTGAATTTTGTGTTTCCTTTTATATAAATAAAGACATTTCCTCAATGAATTGGTGCAGAGAAATTCACCAGAATGCAGGAAATGAAGTGTTTAAAGCCCACATTTTTCAGGGGGAGGAACCCCAGACCCCCCTCTTAAATCTTTTTTTTTAAAAATAATTATCAGTGGTAATTATAAAAATCAGAATAAATGTATTTAATGGCCTATGATATTTAATAATTAAAATGTAGCTCAATGATTTATAGGGTTCAGTTTGACAAATGGCATAACAAGGTAGTTTTTGAGGGTTGATACAAGTATGTCTCCAGAATGCAGGATATTAAGTGTTTAAGTCTGGGGGAGTGCCCCCAAACCCCCCTATCAACTATTTTGTCAATACATTTTTTTCCCCAAATACTAAGCCTATTAAAATATATTGTTGTCTTGTTGTCATGGCCCCACTATTTGTGCAGTGTGAAGTCTCACGGGCTAAGAGTTTTGTCAAACCCCTAATCTAAGCCCTTAAAAGCAAGGATGGTGTATTGGTGAGGATGTCAAACCGATTTTGGTGGGCCGCCTGAGCCTGTTTTATTGTGTGAAGCACTTTGCATTACATCTGCTTGTGTGAAAGTGCTACACAAATAAAGTCTGATTGAGTGACTGAGATGAAGAAGCACAGTTTGTGGTCAGTTACAAAGAAATGTTTTTTTGATCATGTAAATGCTCTGTATTTACATAGCGCCTTTTCCAGTTTTTGCGACCACTTTTATACAACATCGCATTTACCCATTCACACAAATTCATACACTGAGTCTAAGTGCTCAGACAGAAACTAACATTCACATACATTCAATGAACATATATCAGCTGTTCTCAGCTTTTTCTTTTTTTGCTGTGTGTGCATAGATAATGCCACAAACACAGTGTGCCATGAAAAAAAGCAGACATGTGATGGGATATTTCATCTGAAAATATTTTAATTTTCTCTCTCTTTCCTGTGATGCAGTAAATACTTCAATAGCTCAAAATAATTTATCAGCTGTGTGTACCAGAACTTATAGGCTCCTTTCTCAACAGTTAAGAGAAGTGGAAATTTGCCAGGTCTAATGGAAATACGGAGGGTCACGCATTGTTTCTGAAATTTTACAAAATCCCCAACCATGGCACTCATTTTCAACCCTGCTCACATACATACATTTTCACAAAACAAAACATTTACATACTCACCTCACCTAAAAACACACAGTACGTATTAATAAATATTTACATCCAAAACATACCTAACACCTACATGTCTGGATTCCTGGACGTAGCAAAGGACAAAACAGAGAGTATGATGTCTGCATGTGATAAACTTTCTGAAGGATGAAGACATACATGCCACAACATACAATGTGCACTCCAAGCTTTTTGAGCTAGTTGTGGAATTAAGCCTGGGATCCAAATTGTCCAAGCTGTGTTACTTCCTGGACATTGCTGCAAAAGTGAAGGCTGCAACACTGGTGAACATGGTCACTGAAGCATTCAAGGAGAAGCTGAGAAACTTGCCACAACAGGACGTGTGCAGGCCAATCCGTTTCAAATAACTGTTGAAGTAAAATAAAAAATAAAAATTATAACTTTATTATAATTTGAAAATATTTATTTATTTTAATTTCTTATATTTTAGACTTTCCTTCTGAATATTTAACATTTACTTTTTATTTTTTTAAATTTGAAAAAGTAGTTAGTAGACACAATCTTTGTCTGAAAAATAAAAAAAAAACTAAAAAATAGTATTCCTAATGACATTTTGGTAAAAGTTGTCCTCATCCTTGATATGTATTTCTCCAAAACAACAATAATGTTATTTACACAAGCCACAGTACGTCACAACCACCATTCATTCAGTTGTATCATCTCTGGATTTTCATCCAAGCGTAATGTTATTTGGTTTATTTTGCATGGGAGAGAGTGGCATTTTCAGCAGATTTGCAAAGCAAAACATCTGCAGCGGGCAGATATGCAAAGTCAGCTTGACAACATTTTCATCAGGTCAAAAGGTTCAGTTGTTCTTTTTCAGTGCTGCTGTTCAGTGCTTTGACATTACTTCATCCAAAGAAAGGTAAGAAGTAAAAAACCTGCAGTGACTGGATCACACATCCTGTCTGACCCTTAATGCCATCAAAAGAACATGAACTGGATGACTTTGGTATTTTTTGTGGGCCTTCTGTGGATTTTTCATGTTTGTAAGTAGACACAATCTCCAAGTACTAAAGCCTGATAGAAAGCTTTGTCTCTGTTTTACTTCAAACCTGTGCATGCATATCACATATTCTCATAAGGAATGGTATTTGTTCAGCATAAAATAGCAAACTGGAAAAGTCTTAACAAATACTATGTTTTTATACTGTATAAAATATTGTGTTTCAAATATGGCATTTTTGTTTAACTTGTTTTGTGATTTGATTCTGGTATTTTAGCTTCAAAAAACTGCAATCAGTGCACTAAAGTCAAATGTGAAAAACTCACAACATGTTTGACCACGACCACTGACTATTTGTTTGTTGCTGATAACTTCAGTGGTGTCATTGATGCAGGACAATATTGGAATCACAGTGAGTCCGAACAATAATTAATTAATTTTAATTTCATTTAAAATACTTGATAATTACTTAAATTGCATTAGTTGTTGATTGATCACAAGCTATATAAATGTTTCAGGCTCTATTTTTTTTTTTTTAACCATTGTTGTAAAATCTTAGCTAAAGTGCATGTGCTGTATTATGGTTATTATGTGTTTTATTGATGTTGTTGCTGGGGGCACCAAACAGCACGCTAAGTCTAGGAGGAAGGGTGCACCTATATTTTTGCATAATTGCTATTGTTATTTATGTTTTTCAAATGATGATAAATTACTGGGAAACAGAACTGTATTTTTGTGGTCTCCATCTGACGAGTGAAATCGTCACACACAGTTTGGCTCGTTTTCATGACCTATTATGTGTAAATAGGGTCACACCTTTCAGCCTGCTGTGTGTACAGTGTAATGACTTAATATCAACAAAAAATGTTTTATATTAAATTACAACCTGACACGATTCCATTCTTTACCTCAGGAAAAAATGGTTGCATAATATTTCTGCAGGAAAATGCTACAGGAAGACGTGAGTGCAAACAACTTGTCAAACTCACAGAATAGCTGATTTAAAAACATCAGCATTTCAATAAGATACAAATGTTCCTGTATTTCTGTTTTTGATTAATAGCAATGTGGAGTGAACAGTCGCCTCAATTGCAGACAAAGAATGGTGCCTATGTACTGCAGATTTTAAAAGGGAAAATCAACAATAAAAGACGTCTGTATATCCTGCAAGGAAAGAAATGCAACGTCACAGTATCTGGCCTCACAGGTGATATTATATAACTGTATCTGGCATTTTCCAGTGTCAGTTTTCAATTTTCTACTCACTCTACTCACTCTACTCTCTCTTAATGTGTATTATCCAGTGCATGAGGACAGATGAGAGGAGAGTTTGAAAATATAAATGTTTGCTTGTTTGTGTTGTGTGTGCGTGCGTGTGTGCGTGTGAGTGTGGTGTGTGTGTGAGTGTGAGTGTGAGTGTGAGTGTGTACGATTTGGGTGAACTGGCCCTTTACAAATGTAAAACAACAGTTCTTCCTTAAAGACACAAATATAAAGATTGAAACATGAAAGTTTATAATTTGTTTTTGTTAATATATAATTCTTATTATCCAGATTCAACATGCATCTTCAATCAGAATGTCACAGGTAAGCCGACTTCTTCTGACAGTTCATTTAAAATCAAATGACAAAAACAGAGCTAATAAAAATATTAAGTGGAAATTTCAAATTATAAATCAAGTCTATCTTTAATTAATTTACAACTGTTAGTTAAACAATATTGACATCTAATATTCACTTTTTTCCACCCTTACTGAGGGTTAATGAGGTACCCTTAGTTCACCAATTTTATATACTCAAATAAGTAATGTCAGTGACAATGCTAAATAATTTTAGATATTAACTTTCTGAAGTTGTATGCCTCTATAGTTTTGTCCCACTATGCTTATATTTCTTCTTTACTGTGGATGGGTACTGACAATGTTTCTATTAATAGGACCTTGCCAGGTTAGATGTTTGGATACAGAAACCATATGTAAACAGTCTACTTATGATGAACAGAAGTGCACCAACATGGGTAAGTTCACCAACATGGCAAAAAATTTATGTGTAAGTGCTGCTTCTGCAGCTCTCCAGTCTGTTAGATACAGTGGAAACTGTGTGTAGTGATCACAGTTAAAGTGGTGAAGTGCTTATATGGATCAAAAAGCTTGGGACAGAATCGTTACAAACACTTTTTTCGAATTGCTTGTAGTAATCAAGCTGTCTGCTTCCAGAGTTTGTTATCATGTCTTTTCGTTCATGAAAAAAAAATTAATCTACAGTAAATTCAAATGTTTTCTTTACTCCTATTACACTTGTCTTGCGCAACCCATCGGCTTCTGCTGCCTGAACATTAAAATCATGACGAGGAAAAAAGTGAAAAAAAAAGTTACCCTAACCTACCTGGCCCTTAACATACAACAGTAATTACATTTTTACATTAATTTGAAAAGTGTTTGAAAGAGTCACTAAATAACAAAGCTGTTACTTTAAGTCCATGTAATAAATAGACAAATGTAATTACATTAATTACTTAGATGGTAAGATGGATGAGAAATAAAGAACAAAATTCAAATAATCTTCTGCTTATAGTGATCCATTTGACCTGGGCAGATCTGATCAGCTGTTTCCACTGTACTACTGTATATTTTACCTTGCAGATGTTTGATTTAGTGAAGGGAAGTGAAATGTATAACAATTTAAAATAAAATAAAAGATGCCCTGGTGAATTAAGTAGTAGTGACAGTAGTGAAATCTTCTCAAGTTGTCAAAAATGCTAGCTTATGCTAGAAATAAAACTTGATGTCACTTCCTTTCAGGTGGAAACGGCGTGGACGAGTACTTCATCAAAATCACAGCACCAGAAGAAAACTGTCTCAACTGTGTTAAGCCAGTGAGGGGCCCAGATATTAGACTTGATACAGAGAAACTCAAAGATCTCAATATAACAGTAACAATTCAAGCAGGAAAACCAGTTGATGCTACCCAAGCTGCGTAAGATGTGCTTCATGAATTTGTTAAAGAAATAGTTAGACATTTAGACTTTTTCAAGCAGCCTGATAATAAGGAATTGCAGTAATCCAGCCTAGAAGTAACAAATACATGGACTAGTTTTTCTGCATAATTTTTAGACAGGATATTCCTAATTTTCGCAATATTACATAGGTAAAAAAAAGGCGGTCCTTGAAATTTTCTTAATGTGAGACTTGACTCCTGATCAAAGATAACTCCAAGATTCCTCACAGTGGTGCTAGAGGCCAGGGCGATGCCATCCAGGGAAACTATATCTTTAGATAATGCGTCACGGAGGTGCTTAGGCCCCAGAACAATAACTTCAGTTTTATCTGAGTTTAACATTAGAAAATTACAGGTCATCCAGGTTTTAACATCCTGAAGGCACATTTGAAGTTTAGCTAACTGATGAGTTTCATCTGGCTTAATCGATAGATATAACTGAGTATCATCTGCATAACAATGAAAGTTTATGGAATATTTCCTGATAATATTGCCTGAAGGAAGCATATATAAAGTGAACAGGATTGGTCCGAGGACAGATCCTTGTGGAAACATATTTTCTCATAATTAGGAGATATGGTGTCCATTTTTTTTTCTTTGATGCAAGAAAACCAAACTGCGACCGTTTCGTTAACCCCTTGTTAGAAAGCCTTTGTTTTGGTTTAGAAAAAGATCATTCTTTTGGGGTATGACAAAGTGTGAATGAGACCTTGCTGGTGTGTGAAATTAATGTTTTTTGTCCACGATCCCTGACAAATAAATGTAATAAACTACTTCTGAGAGTGAGATAAGAAGAATAGTACCACAGTGGAGCTTTAGCAAGTAGCTAGTTAACTTAGTTTAACATGAAGATTGGAAGCAGGGGGAAACAGCAAGTCTGGTTCTGTCCAAAGTTTTAAAATCTGTCACCTCTAATGCTCACTCATTAACAGAAATGCAAAAATGACAATTTGCCAGGAAATGTCAGTGTCACTGCTCCCCGCTGTTGTTGACCAAACAATTGTTACAGCATGAAACTCACTATAAAACCATGAATCTTAACATTTCTGAATGTGTACACATTAACAAGACAGAATGTATTAAATTGTGAGATTTTTCTACTTTGGGTACCGCCAGGCTAGCTGTTTCTCCCTGCATCCACTTTTTGAGCTAAGCGTATTACTTCCACGATTCAGCTCACTTACTTGACATTATGTATTGGTCTTCTCATCTTGCTCAAACTATTTGTTTAAACATAGAAATTTAAACAGGAAGAATGTGCAAAACATATTAAAGTACTGATTAAAAGGCATGCATAGTACCTCGACTATATGGGATCAAGATTCTTCTATCTGTCAACAGTAAAATGATGGACAACATGGCCAACCTTGCCGCCACCATCAATGTATCTTCAGCTGAACTGAATGTGGGAGAAGGAGTCACGGGTATCTTAAAGAGAGAAACGGACCCCACGAGCATAGACAATGTCTTCTTTGCTTATAAGTCTCCAAATGACAGTATAAGTGTAGGTGGACTACTTTTATTTGACCTTCATACATGTGTTATGTCAACAGATTAACAGAGTAAAACTTTCAGTACAGACTTCAGAATAACAGTATGTGTTTGGATGTGATGAGTATCTCAGTCACCTGCTAACCTGAGAGTAATGAAATGAGTGGTCAATATAAACTTTAAGTATGTGTCATTCAGCCATTATGTCTCTAATGTGGAAAATCATTTGTGGTGAGGTTAATAAAGGACAAAATTTGGGGAATTATGAAGATAATTGGGCAGATTTTGGGTCAGATTCCAACTAATAGGTAATAGCGTAATAGTGAATGTGTCGTGTTTGGTTAATCTATATGTACACAAAAACGTAATAAGTGCAGTCATCCTAGCAGCTCTGTAAGCACAGCAGTATTTTGGAGAAACTGCTAAAATGCTGATATTTACCATTTTAGTTTAGCGTGTTAGCATGTTAACATTTGCTAATTAGTGTTAAACACAAAAGACAGCTGAGGCTGATGGGAATGTCATTAGTTTTACAAGTATTTCTCATAAATAGTATAGATAAAAACATTTGATTTGACTTCATAATGGTGCTAGGATCACCAAATTTCAGTCAGAGGGGGACATAAACTTTCAAACACAAATTTCATAGCAATCCGGCCAATGGTTGTGTTGACAAAATGTACAAACAAAACTTTTAAATGTCTGCACAAAAGGCCATGACAATCCAACAAATAGTTACTAAGATATTTTAGTATGGAAACGGTGGACTGACTGACAGAGAGACCGGCATTGTCATCCACAGAGCCATGCTAATTAAAAAAATAAAACAATTTGTGGTTTTAGGGAGAGTTATTTGCTGGAACAGTTTATTGGCAAACAACTGCCTGGTGCAGTGTGTCACTTTACAGAGTTACCATTGTATCTGTATACAGACCAAAACTTGCTATGTGAATCTGAAACTGCCCACAATAAGTGGATGAATGAATAAAAATGTGACCATAAAGAAATATTTACAGCATGTACATATCCTTAAAATCACAACAGTAGCAGTATTTTCCAAAATTGTGATTTTTTTTAAATCTAAGCCCATTTACTGAAGATGTAAATGTTTAAAAACAGGTCACAATTTTTTGAAGGGAAGTAGTTTCCTGAAATTAAAATTGGATGCAATTAAAGTGAACAGTTTCATTATTATATAGACTTTAACACTACACTGTAAACAATTTTGACAGCACACTTGTTTTGCTCTTGCTTGCAGATTATAGACAACACAGATACTATGGCCACATTTTCAAGATCAGTTACAGTGCCAAAAGAAGCATTTGAAAAATCTTTCAGTTCGAATGTTAGTGTCGTATTTGCAGTTCTTATGCGATTCACCAATCTGGCCAAGGTAAGAAAACATGTCTCATTTTCACCTTCAGTGATACTGATGATACTGTGATCATGTTACTATTTTGTAATTGTTCCGTTTTTTTTCAGGATGCAAAGAACAGCATGGTTTTAGGTAATGAGGTTTTAGCAGTTGAAATGGGAGCCAATATCACCAATCTCACAGACAAAATAAACATCAATTTTCAGAATTTGACATACGTAAGTAAAATAACAAGGGCATCTTCAAATTTGTAGTATTTGTACTTCTATATTTTTAATGCAATTCTGTTGTTTTCTTTACAGAAAGGAATTCCATCTTGTCAATCATGGGATGGTCAAGGTATTGGTACCGATTGATAATTTGCATGTTGATGTCAGATACTGCTTAAAAAAAGATTGTAAGATTATCCAACGAAGGTTGAGGTCAAGGGCAACTGGACTTGGATGAAGAACAAAATGTCTGCTGTAAAAACAAGGCTTATTAGGTCCATTTCTGATCATGGTATTTGTTAAATAAAGAACACTTGTGTCTTTGCTGCGGGACACATTCAGAGAAATGCATCTTTGAAAGTGCGTCCTCATGGTCAGATCATTTGTTATGATTATTTGTTATTTTATTAGTGTTTGTCATGTTAATGATTTAAATAATTTGTAGAAAACAAAAAGTTAAAATTAAACTGACTACTCTTAAGATAACAAAGCATCTAACAAGTTAAATTCTGGGTGACATTGGGGCAAACTGGATTAAACCTGACTTGCTGGAGCGTTGATGCTTAAGTCTTCCTGATGTTCTTCATTCAAATGCACTCGTGAACCTTCCAGTTTTGTTTGCATACTCTGCTTCTGTCTTTTAGGAAGCCGACCAAACTGGACCAGTGACGGATGTCTGACAATACAAAATGGAGAGAACATTACATGCCAGTGTTCCCATTTGACATTTTTGCTATCTTAATGGTGTGTTTTCTTTCTATTATGAAACTTTCATGATATACATTCCCAGTTGAATACACATATTTGGACATTCCTCTGTGTGACCGTCTTGGCTGATTACACTCTGTACTGTAGCTACCTCCTTTTTAAATTCCCCCATAGCATTACATTTCTCTCTGTGGTAATTAAGTGCATCATAATTCATCCTGATTACCACTGTCAGTACCTGTGACATAGTGCTTAAAAGTGTTCTTGAAATGTTTGCTCTTTGCAGGCTCCTCCAAATGAAACCATTTCTAGTTCTAACCTGAACAATCTCACCATCATCACTCAAGTTGGCTGTGGCTTGTCCATGTTCTTCCTCGGCATAGTCTTCTATATGCACTTCTTTCAAAGGTAATAATAACTGAACTTTGTCTCTAATTAGTGTCAGATTAAATTGTTATTTTCAAGAAACATACAGGAACTTATCAAGAAATAACATCCACACAAAAGAATGTGTTATTGTCTTCTAAATAAAATAAGTCCAGTCCATATATATAGTCCAGTCCAGAAGAGAGGGAGCCAGAGAGAGAGAGAAAGATGAAAATTTAGGTGATTTGCTTGCTGAGGTTTCTCATAATGTAGCGATGGATGAGAGATGAATCTTGATTTCAGTCAGAAGTAACACAGTGAACAAATATAAGGAGATGAAGCTAATTGGTAAAAATCGATTCAGTTACATCCACAGGTAGCCTGTATTCCACATCACAAATTTGCGTAATTCTTTAGCCTACTTATTTATAATATTTGTAAAGTAAAAAACAAGCTTCAAAGTCTGCAATAGTAAAAAAACGTTAAGTTAATACCATTCAAGTAAACATAAAAACATCCCATTTATAGCTCTGTTATTTCATAGCCGTTACTGTGGTGAAAGATCATGTAAATAAACCCGCTTTCCAAAACTGAACAACACTGTAGGGAAATGAGACTGAATAGTAGCTTCCTTGTGGTAATGCTTTGGGAATATGTAATATGTAACCAATGAATGCTGCATGAAAAAAAAAAATCCCATTTGTCACTATCCTCACCTTGAATGGCCACAGGAATATTTTAAGACAAATACTGCACTTTGCACTCTTTAGAGACCAAATGCTGAGCCCCTGTAGGTATATACATATGTGTGTGTGTGTGTATATGTATATACTGTATATATATATAAATATATATATTCTGGTGCTGGGCAACGATGGAAATTTTTTATCAATCGATTAATCGCATTTGTATGCTCAAAATTGAGTAATGAATTATAGTGTATTGTGCACTTTTAAAAAACATACTGTTAAGTAGTTACACAAAAGTGCAATAACATGTGGTTTGGAAACACTTTAAACAAATAAGTTGCTTTTTACCAGCAGTATTCCCTTTACACAGTAGCAATAAAATATTTCTTGTAAATCTCAACTTAAACATTAATGTAGGACTAATCAGATCAAATATAAGCTGCTGAATTGTGTTGAACTTTTTGTAGGCGAAGTGCAGCACAAATAATTGGAAGAGAGACTGATCCTCGCTGTTTGTGAGTTTCCAGAATCTATTAGGCCTATAGGAAATCAACAGGAGGGAATTCACAGAGCATCCCTGCAAGATTAGATGAAGGTCTATCAGTTTAGTTATGTATTGCACACAGAAGCCGTTGCCATGGTTACTCTAGAGGCCCGCTGTTTACTCATGGAGGGCTTGTCTCCCTTTTTGTTTACATGAGAGAACCAAGCGCCAAGCGACTACGTTGTGATTTTAAGGAGGTTCCTAAGTTCGACATCTTCCCCAATACTAATCAGCACGCAGTGTGTAGCTATCCACTTCGCCATGGCATTTGATGGCTTGTCTTGCTTTTGTTTATCTACTTCTCGCACACGCTGCATCTGCCGAAGCCTCCCTCCACTGCTTGTTTGAGTGGGTGATTTGCAGGCTGATAAATATCGCGCCTCTCCTGTGACACATGGTTGTACCCTACCCGCTTTCAATGTGTATTCAGAGCCAGTGAGAAATGGAGTTTCAAAATAATAATAATAAAAACTGCGTTAACGTGCGATAAAATAATTGTCGGCCTAATTAATTAACGCGATAATGCGAAAAAGTGTCCATGTGAGTTGGCAGGGTTTTTTTTTAATCATTAGCCTGTTATTTTGAAAGTCCATTACTGACTGGCTCTGAATACAAGTAGTCCTACAGTCATACCATGGGTCACAGGAGGGGTGGGGATGTTGATCAGCCTGCAAATCACCCACCCAAGCAAGCAGTAGAGGGAGGCTTCGGCAGGATGCAAACCATCCATGGCCTTTAAGTAATTAAAATAGCCCAAAAATGTAATGTGGACAGTGGTTACAGAATAAGAATATGATGATCTGTCTATTGTCTATAATCTCAGGGAGATCAAGACCAGTGATACCACATGGATTCTCATTCATCTGATGTCGGCCACGTTCCTGCTTGACTTCTCCTTTCTGATCAACAACTATGTGGCAAACCTGAACAACACCGTGGGTTGTACAATCATGGCAGCTTTCATGCACTACTTTTTGTTGGCGACTTTCACTTGGTTTGCTACCCAGGCCTTCCACCTCTGGCTGCAGCTGTACATGGGGGGCAAAATTGTTATCCGCCACTACATACTGAAAGTCTCAATTACCGCTTGGGGTGAGTATACATCATCATTTCCTGCTGTTGGACCTAATCATGGACATGATATTTGCAATTCAGTGGGCAGCTGCTTATCGTTAATTTTTGTTCTCCATTTCCAGTACTACCCAGTGTAATTGGGATTATCCTGGTCATCATGGGAAAATATGGTGAAGAAAGTGTTTACACTAATGACACTAAAGAAAAAGTGTCCATGTGAGTTGGCAAATAATTTTGAAGACTGTTGATTATATATTTAATACAGAGAATCATACAATAAAGCAATGTTTCCATTCCTTCACTGACATGTTGGTTTGTTCCAAGGTGCTGGATAACAGACAGGAACGTCCACTACATTGTCAACATAGCCTACTATGCGGTGGTCTTCCTCTTCACTTTTACGACCTTCATCATCATACTGTCCTGGTTCTTTTGTCTTAAGAGAACCAGAACAGACAACATTAGCAACGCCAGCAGAAGTGGCAAAAATATTGTAACCATCCTCGGACTGTGTTGCATTCTGGGTATCACATGGGGATTTGCCTTCTTTGCATACGGTGCCCTCCAGATCCCTTCCTACTATATTTTCACAACCCTCAATTCTTTCCAAGGTATCCACAACTGTGATCAGCCTGGATATAATCCAGCAATTCTAAATAACAATCTTTAAAATTTATTGTTTTTTACATTGTAAATTATTTTATTTTATACTCACTGCTCATGTAGTTGGGATTTTACTTCTTTACTCACAGGATAAAGCTGCTTGGATGCTTTAATACTTCTATATTAACAACAGATGAATAGACTATCCGTAGTGTGAAAGGGGTCGCGCGTAGTGAAAAACTCACATTTAATTAAGCTCTACTTTATGGCCCACAGCTTTACTGTTGTGGCAGCCGGCAGCTGGTTTTAATTCAAAGGCTCTCATGAATTCACTGTTTGCAACCTGCTGCTTGTGAGCACAGTTTAGCATTTAGGTGCTTAGGAGGCAGATATTTCCCTCAGGCGTTGGTGAAGTCCAAAAATGAAAGACTCCAAATGAATGCTATGTGTCTGTTGATGTGTAAATGGGCAACTGTTGCGTTTACATCTTGCTTCACAGCCCTGTGGTTAATAGTTTTGCATGTGTAATTAATGGTAGGCCAATGCACAACACGTGTACAATGCAAAAAACATTTGTTGCTTCTACCAAAGTTTACATGGTGCCACAGCAGATGCTATACATCTGTTATTGTCTCCAATCCAATAGGAGTGTAATTTTTGTTGTTGTTATTTTGAGTGCTCATGACAGTGTTTTCATTGGAACTACTTTCTAAGAAGACACTAGAAACATCTTGATTGGGTGTGATTTGAGAGCACTGTCCATTTAATGTAGGCACTCTCCACTTGTTCTCCACTTTTTTTTGGCCCCTAACAGTAACAGAATACTCACACATACTCAAATGTCACTTACTTGACTTTATTCGACTCAAATCAGACTGCCCTGCCATCATATTACTGTAGCATTGGCTAAAACATGGAGTGCTCTGAATCTTGTATTATTCTCATTTGAACTATATTAAAACCAGAAAGACAAGGGAAGTAAAAGGGTGGATAACTGTGAAAATATATCCCACCTACTGTATGTATGACATCAGCAATGAGTGTAATGTAGGGATTAACTACTAAGTACGTTATATTTCAGAGACTGAGCTTGTCCTTATGAGTGACCATCTTTCTTTGCCCGGCAGGTTTCTTCCTGTTTGTCTACTACTACAACACCAGACACTCCGGAGAGAGAAATAGTGGCAAGAAACACCATGAAACCACCACCAACACACTTACAACCAGCGTGGACAGCTTTGAGAACCCCTACACGGAAATGCCAGCAAAACAAAGCCTTGGAAGATGAATGGGGGACTAAAGAGCGATGGAGACTCAGTGGTGAAAGTTCTCAGATCTTTTACTTAAGTAAAAGTAGCAATACCACAATGTAAAAATACTTAAGTACATTCAAATATTGGCATGGTATGGCTTACATACCAAAATATACTAGTAGCAAAAATACAAGTACTCAACATGCAGAATGGCCCATTTCAGATAAAATAAATTTTATCATTGGATAATTATTGACATATTGATGTGTAAGCATCACTAATGTTACAGTTGGTAAAGGTGCAGCTAATTTCAACTACTTTATATACACTGCAGGGTAGCTTAATCCATAATCTAATAATTTATTAATTGATTTATATTGTATATTAATAATCCGAATTTGTTATTGAATAATTGTAGTGGAGTTAAAAAGTAGAATACTGGCATCTGAGATGTAGTAGAGTATAAATTAGCATGAAATACGTACATATATATATAAATAAGTACAACTAGTACCTTAAACTTAAAGTATAGACAACAATGTACAACAAATGTACAACACTAACGGGAATGTTGCCTGACATTTTAATTTATCATTATTAGTATATAAGAAAATAGCTTTAACAGCACATTGTATAGTTTATCTTTGGACCAGAAGTTTACTGATTTTCAATGATTTAAAAACCTGTAACACAAAACCTTTGCTTAAGTACCAAGTTTGTTTTTTTTTTAAATTACATTTTCAGCCCCCTCTGATCTCCTAACCACACACACACACACACACACACACACTGTGTTCAGTTGAGGATACACTGTTAAATATAAAGTTTCCTCTCAACCAGGACATGGGTAATTGTAAATGAGGTGATATACTTAAAAAACTGAACATCCTGTTTGACCCATAAGAAGCTTGTATTGATTGTTTCAAATATGAGTGGGCTAAGGAACATGAAGAAGAAGAATACTTTATTTAGTTTCACACTCAACACACATTTTACATAAATATACACTTTTTTAAAACTCAAAACTCTTTTACAAGAGAGCTTCTGCTTCCTTGAGTGCTTTTTCCATTTCCGCAGCCTCCAATGAAAAGTTCTCCCTTTCCTGCCTCATATGTTCCCGTGCTTTAGCGAGTGCTGTCATTGTTGTTTGGATTTCCTGATAAGTGTGAAAATGAGGAACATTTAAAATACATTCCAGCCATCCAGTAAATCAACTACAACTAACAGCAAAGTTACACAGGTCAGTACAAAAGTTTCACTGACTTTGACTCACCTCTAGCCGAGCCCGTTGCTGTGATGCAACGTCTCCAAATGCTTTTAATTCATGCAGCAGGTCTGTGGAAACACTCTGAAATAGAGACATTGGAAGTTGTTTACTAGCTGTCTGCCTATGGTAGCCAAAGTTAGATATAGATAGATAGTGTGGTTATGTAGCATAGAAGTAATTATAAGTGCATGTTTCCATAACTGTAATGTCTTCTGTTTTCAAGTTATTCATGTGAGTTTGATTCAAATGCACTTTGATTTGAAGTTGACTATGTATAACAGAGAAAACTAAAATAAAATATACATACCATGACTTCTTTTCTTTGATCTTCATTTTGTCTTGCAGCTTCTCCAACTCTTTCTCCTAAAACTAAGAAGAGGTTTTATATTAGAAGAAGTTATTTTCTATCAAGCAACAACTGAAATACAGCTGACAAAAACACACCTTTTAAATGGAGGATTAATATTCACCTGGGTCTATTTTGGCTGCAACTAGGAGAACATGACAGTCCTTCAGGTTTTTCTGTACTTCAGCATTCTCCTTTTCAAGGTCACTGAACTGCAGCTCCAACTCAGCTACTCTTTGCTGCAATAACAGCAAAGAAAAAAAAATTGTAGCATAAAGTCAAAAAAAGAAAGGAGTGCCCAGGAGGTCCCACCTCTCTAACTACCAGACCACACCTAGCTGATGTGCTTTCTACCAGGAGCCTAACCGGTGTATTCAAAAATAATAGTTAAGAATAAGCAAGCAAAGAGAAAACAAGCATCTAGTTATGTTACGAGTACTTCATTAAAATTGCTTTCTGCACCTGTGTGTCTGTAAGGTTTTTCTGCAGCTCCTCATTGGTAGCCATCAAATGCTGATTTTGCTCCTTTAGCTCTGCCTGTTGCCCATACCTGGTGGACACCCTACAGAAAGGTGCAACATAAAGTTGTGAAAAAAGTGGCCAAAGGGCACTGCACATTCAGGAGATGGAATATACTGTAATGTATGACTTACCCTTTGTGAACTTTAGGAGCAGCATTTTTTCTGGAAGACAAAAGTAAAATAAATTCAATCGAATACATGTGAAGCAAATATATGGAGCCTGACAGTTTGGGTGTATGATGCTTTGCACTAAAGTATGGCAAAGAGATGAAAGGAAATTATTCTTTTCTGGAACTTGTGGGGCACTCAATCCCTTTACAATATGGATGTGTTTAATTTTACATTTTAACTGCCATTTCTTCTATATATCACCATACACTTCTGGAGAAAGGTTCAACACTCAACACGCTTGATTTGAAACTTCCTGACAGCAGTATTTCCCCTTGAATTTTGTCTACCTGTGGCAGAGGAGTCATGTGTAGTGCGGTGTTTGGATCATCTTTATCAGCCCAAGTGCCATGCCGCCTAGATGGATTTGTTACGGGTCTACCCAACAGTTTACCATATTATTTTAAGTCGTAACGTGCAGTTTTTTTTACTATGAAGAGTTTGTTTGCAATTTCTCACCTTGATATATATTCTTTTTGAGATTTTAGGACACCATCTGATTTTTGGGCAGCATTTGTTGTTGCAGACACAGTTACTGTGTCTCTGGATTCAAGTTTATGAACGGTTTTCTTTGTTTCTGCAGGTAACTGCACACCTGGAAAACACATAACATTGTTAATCAGACACCAGCTGTGTCCGACTTTAGGAACTTTAATTCAGTCAGCAAAATTAGCTAATTCTGCTCACCTCTTGGGATTCTTGAAGACATTGCTCTATCTCCAATTAATACAATGCTACCGATGACAAAGGCACCTGTATGAAGACATAATTTGATTAAACACGTTTAATCTATCCAGAACATCTTTACTGGACCTGTTTAAATATAACTCACCTATGTAGGCTCCTATCAAATATGCTTTGATTATATGTATGGATCATGGTTATCATGGAATACCAGGCCCAATATATTTGATATTACGCGAAAAATAAAAATTGACAGATTTTGAATGGAGTTAGGTGCTCTTTCCCAAATACAACAAGGACTTCTAAAAAGTATCACCACAAATGTTTAGTTAGCTTAGGTTAGGTTTAAGTTAAGCGTTCAAAATGACTGAAACATACTAATATGTGTGACATGGTTAAATAACACAACATAAATTCCTACCTTTTATCGATCCGTTAAATATGAGACTTGTCAACAGTCAAAACGGAGCGGCACGAATTCAAAAACGTCCCGCCCTCTTTGGTCAATTCCGGTTTCTTGACATTATTTCCTGTACAGATAAAACTACTTTTCGGTATTTATGAGCATCAGAAGGTTTATATTTCTCGATTAATTCGAGCTAAACGTTATTCTTACTGTCATAAACTATCTTTTGTTAAGTTAACTTTTACTGCAGAAACCGAAATAAGCTTTTAAACTACACTGCGCATGCGTGGAGGCGGCTAAATTCAAAACTCAAGACGTTAGCTTCGATGGTCGTTGACGTTAGCTGCAGTTTGTAGGTTCGCAGATCTACCCAGCTAAGAATAAACGACATGAAAACTATTTTAAGTTAGTCTACCAGTAAGAACACAACCGTGTCCGTTGAGGAATTGTCTCATAACAACCACAAGGTATGCGCTGTGGTGTTCGTATGTTTTCCTTTTCATATCATGAATGGCATCATGTCAATGGCAAACATTAACGTTAGCTAGTTAACGTTAACTAACTAACGTTAAAGTGCACTAAACTTTTACTCTAGCTAGCAACGATCAGTTTTCTCTGTAATGACTAAATTGAAATGCGAACTCATTTAAGATTTTGGGGAAACGGTCTTTTGCGGCGGTTGCGTTTGTTGACAAAGGGGAAATGGTTATCCATCCAGCTAACTTCGCACATATGCATTGATCATGCCAGGTCTTTGTTGATAGAATATTGTGCAAATACGTTGCTAATTATTAAGTTAAAATCCTAAACTGTCGTACGGAAAAGCATGTAACTTCTGTTAATCCAATCTTGATTTTCCCGATGTCACCGAGGCCCAATACCTTCTTTATTTGGTTATTAAATTAATCCTCCAGCTTAAGTTGGGCATTCATGCTGTATGCAAATGAATTATGAGGCATTTTTTGGCTGTACAATAAAAGAATAGCGATCAATATATTTATCTCACTTATAATAAAACAAATGTTCAATAAATGTTTGATTTCATTAAGTTGAATCACGGACGAATCAGCAATAGAATAATTGTACTATTAAGATATTTATTCTGTTGAGGTAAAGGGACTGAAGAAATATTTTAATTTTAGTTAGTAAAATGTTTGTTAAAAAAAGATTTTATCATAATTGTTTAAAATGTTCTACCTCAGATTTGTTAAGTGATCCAATGTTTGGCATCAAGTGTTTGTTCTGACCATAAAGAATAGTTTAAAACCACTATTAACCATCTGGTTTCTTCAACTTTCACTCAGGAGCAAATATCATCCTTAAAACTTGAAAGAAATGATGATTTGACATTTATTGCGATACTTACCGATATTGAATGATAATGTTTTTTTTTTTTTATCATGATAAAAAATTTCTTTTATCGCCCAGCCCTACTTAAATGTCCATGTTTTATCAACTTCAGTTTCATCATATACTCCAGAAGCTGTGATTTACTGAACCAAGCCTTGTTTTGTTCATTTGATCTCAGTTGAAAATGGAGCCTCTGGATCCTGCCAAGAATGAGTGAGTGAAAAATATGTTATTGAGAGAAAGTAGCCATGTGTGCTTTGTGGTTGAAGCTCAAAGCAGCGGTCTGCTCATTAAAGGCCAGCATTACACCTGGCATTAACATTAACTTGTGATATTACTGTATTCACATATAGTAGTAAACACCCCTCTGCATATACTGTAGTGCTGAATAGTGTGTTTCATGTTGTGTGTTACAGAGAAAGCACTGGATTCTCCAAGCGGCGCATTTCTTCGGTTAGTGCTACAAATCAGTTTATGGATAAAGTATATATACTTTTAGCCTTTTTATTTTTTTTAACAATTCATTTGTCTAAACCATATCTTTTTCTATGTTTAATTTTCAGATATTAAAAGCACCACGGAAATCAATCATATTCCCTGAACCAGTACAACAGGAAAATGTGGTAAATGGATTGCTTGATTTTGTGACTGTGTTTATATATAAAAATGGGGATTCCAGCCTTAATACATTCTCACCTAAACAAGTAAAAACTACTACTACTAACTTACTTTAAATTTATTAGCATTGAAAGAGTGAGAACCAAGCCAAGAGGGTGTAACCTGATTAACCAACTTATAAGAAGGGAGACTCTTTGGATTAATGATTTGAACGCAATTGAGCCTCATGGATCAAAATTATCACAAGAAAAAGCTAATATCCTGTGTTTCACTAAGGATATTTGCTTTTTCTTGTGATAATTTTGATTAGACATCTTTATCTGAGGTGTTTTTCATCAGTGTTTTTCGCAGCTAGTGGGACAGAGGTAGGACCTATAGGTTATCTGTCCTAAGGTACTTAATAGTTCCTTGTCAGTGAGCTTCATATTAGTCTTTTTATGGCCTTATGTGAAATTAGGGATGGACAATAAATCAATAACAATAATCATCGCAATCAAATTTTTTTTCAATAACTATATTTTCGATAAATGTTTGATTTTATTCTCTTGAATCATAAATGAAATAGCAGTTAATTTTTTTAATAAGATGTTTATATTTTTGAGAAAAAGGACTGAATTTAGCTTTTACTTAATTTTACTCATGCCTATTTGTTGTGTTAACTACAATTAACCATCGCTCAGGAGCAAAAATCAGCCTTTAAACCCAAAAGAAATAACAATTTGATAATTATCGTGATAATTATCGATATCGAAAGATATTAATCTTTTTATCATGATAACATTTTTGTCCAGCCCTATGTGAAATGATTCTTGTGGCTCATGTATGTTATTTATTTTTATTTTTCTATGTTCAATCATGTTTTTGCTGCTTGTATTATAGTATTTTTGTTAGATGTTGATTTTATAAAAATGAAGAAAAAAAAATGTAATGGAAATTGGGATTACTGGTTATGTGACTTACAGTACCTATTTAGCACACCTGTGAGTGTTATTTGCAATTTCAGTGTGTGAACTTGAAGAAGCCATAGGTGAAATGCATTGTTCACAATAAATATGATAATTTCAGTGTGCGGTAGTTTGTTTTAGATTTTTGATCACCAAATCCTGCGTCCTATTTGCACCTGACTGTTGTTGCTGTGCACGAGGAATCTCTTGGGTTTTTTTGTGGTAATAACTTTGTTTATGAATTTATACTTTACTATATATATATCATTTTTATTTTCAAGGTGGAGTGTGCCAAACCTGTAGAAAAGAGGAATTCAAGAAGAGTCAGTTTTGCGCCTGCCAACGATGTTCTCCTGTTTTCAAAGTGAGATATTAGGAAAATAGTTGGGCTTAATTTCCCACAGTGACACTGACGTTTCAGCCTAATCAGTATTTTATCTTTACAGAGAAGTAAAAAATGCCTCTCCTGCCCGAAGTCCTTTACAAGAGTTAATAACATCAAGTAAGTATCACTATGTAGTACGAATAAGTATGTGATCTTTTTTTATTTTATTGAAGCAGCTTTGTAATGTTTGTCATTTGTTATTCCACAGCAGCTGCAGCCACACAGAATAGGTAAGTTGAATTGATCCTTTTGAGTTTTTTTATTATTTATAAAAAAACTATCTCTTGCACTCTCACCAAACCAGTAAAAAATGTCTGTTTTAATATCATAAATATTATGTTATCTTTCATTAGGGTCCAGGTGGTGGTCGCTAATGATGGGATTCAACAAATCACTGGTAGGAATATTCAATTATGAACTTTTCTTAACTATTACCAAGTGCTCACGTTGTCTGTTAAAGTGTATGGTCTTTTACTAAATTAAAATCTTCACATTTAGGAATGGAAACCCTATTGAATGCTCCTCTACATGTTTCTCAACAAAGGGAGACGGTGAGCTTGAGCACTTAGCTGTTTTGCTTTGCTGTTATTTCACTGTTTTTGTTCTTACCACTGTCACCGTTCATTGACATAAAGCTACTTATCTTCACCAGGTCAACTTTGATACTGGGACTGACTTTAGTGAGAAAACTGTGATGTTTTCTACAGATGATGCGTTCATGGACATAACACGCAGTCACACTATAAACCTTGGCGTTGATGCAGATGTTTCCCTCCAAAATGATGACATTTTACCTACTAGCGGAGAGAAAACAGTGATGTTTACTGCAGGTGATGGATCCATGGATATGGCCCTAAGTCATACTTTCAACATGAGTGGGTTAAAATCACTACCCACTAGAAGTGTAGAGAAGGGAAACATATCCTCATCAGTACCTTGTTTGGATCCTGGATTCGAAAACTTCCTTGCAAGTTTCTCTAGACCTAGTGGCCCCAGCGTTAATTCTGTGATCACCAGAATGGCGCCTCCTGCTGGAACATCCTCTGGCTTCCTGTCCCAGATATGTACGAAAAGGCCTGATGTGGATAAAGAAAATCGGGCTCCGATTTCTCTTTCAGCTGTGACAGAAAAGTCACTAAATACATCCAGGAAGATTGGTCAGTCATCTTATGGAAGTGCATTCTATCCAGACGATGACGTAAGCATGGATATGACTGAACCTCAGAGCCAACTTTATGGATTCACTGATTATGATGACGACGATCCCTTTCAGTGTCTCTTTCCCACAAAAGAAATGTACTCTGGCATCGAGAGCGTGTCACAGACAGCAGAGAAGACCCAACAACAGAGCAGGAAAACACTGGAATCATTTAACACTAAAGGTACTGAATTTTCTATCAACTAATTAATTAATCTACTCAATATTTCAACATGTATGTATTGCTTTCATTGACTTAAAACACGATGTCTTGTGTGTTTTGGGGATGCTGGTATTATTTCACAAGTTATGATTGAATACAGTGTAAATAACATTTTTTTACATTTCAATTTTCAGATTTAGATAAGAAATCCTTGA